TAGAACAAGAGCTTTAACAAATGTCAATTGTGCCAACAATAATATCAACAAACCTTTCTTCATTTTTACCTCTCTAAGATGTCTCAAGATCTTTTACCAATGGAGCTTTTTGTTGATGCTTCTAGGGAACACATGCATTCTTCTTGTCACCAAGTCAATTATATTTGAGCATGTTACCTAATAAATATTTTGATGTTGCTATAAATGAAGCCCCATAACTTCTTTATAGAATCAAGATATTTTTCCTACAATATCAACAAGACAAACTAGGTACTCAATCTTTGTTGGGTCCTTAGGGGTGAGTAACACAATTGTTGCACTTAGGCGACCATTGAGAAATGTCATTAGGGACTGAAAATCTCCTAAGTTTGCATTTGGAAATAGTATAACCTTTCATACAATATTAGTAACACGTTATGTTTCGAGAGATGTCACTTTTTCTATTGAATTTCTTTTCAACAAAGTTGTACTTTTTATAAGGTGGGTTCAAAGATTTGTTAAACTTTGTTGGATCTATAGTAAAGGTGACTTTTGGTTGTTGTGCCTTGGTTAGTTTGGCCTTAAGAGTATTAACTTTTTTTTTTCAAATATAGCAAGTCTCACAATCAAAGTTAAACGGGTTAGCATCTTTTTTCATTTTTGACTTTTTGACTATCTACTATATAATGCTTTAAAGCTTCCATTTGTTTTTCCGTTTCTGAAATTTTTGACTCTAAGTATGAAAAGATTCTTTTATTTGTGGCCAACTTTTTGAAAGCTTCAATAGCTTCTCTATGCAAATTTTCAAAAGCATCAAGTAACTCTAAATGAGACAATCCATTAACATGTTTATTTTGAGAAGAGATTATCTCATTTTTCTTACCTCCTTGATAATGACTAGAGAGACACATCTCATCATGTCTTGATGATTTAGAGTCATTCTTCTTTTCTTCGTGATAATGACCGGAGAGGCACACTTCATCATATTTTGATGGTTTGTGTTCCTTTTTCTTTCTATTATTGAAGTGAGTTTAAGGACAAAAATAATTTGATTCTTCATCATGACTAGAGTCCTCATCACTTGAGGATTCAATATCACTTACCCAAGTCACATCGGCCTTCCTATGTTTGATATGATTTTTGTGTTGATTCCTCTTCTTATCTTTATCATAGGGAGGACATTCTGGCCGATAATGGCCAAATTTTCCACAATTAAAGCATGAAGGCATTGAATTTCTTCCTTTGAATTTATCTTGCTTAGAAGATGTAGATTGTCCTTTAGGCTTAATGGGGTTTTTGTTGAGGTTCTTTTCACTTTTATTTTTCAAGTACTTATGGTACTTTTTGATAAACAAACTCATCTCTTCTTCATCCGAATCATAGTTGTTACTAACATCACTTTCATAAATTTGCTCATCCTTTGAGGATCTTGAACTTGAATCCCTTAGAGCTGTAGGTTTCGTTCCTTCCTCCTTGTAGGTGTCTTTCTGTTTTTTCTTCCTTTTCTCGAGTTTCCTTTCATATTTTTCCAAGCAAATGAGTTCTTGCTCGTGCTCTTCCAACTTTCTAAACAAAGTGGTGAGATCAAGTGTTGCAAGATTATTGGCTTCTTCGATTGTCGTGACCTTTGATTTCTAATTCCTAGTAAGACATCTCAAAACCTTGTTAGTAGCAATCTCATTGGAAATAAGATTACCTAGCAAGTTTAAAGGATTAATAAGATGTGTGAACCGCTTTTGCATTTGAGCATGGTTTCACCATGTTTCATGCGAAAGAGTACAAACTCTTGATTAAGTGTATTAATTTTAGCTTGTTTGACCTTATTAGTTCCCTTATAACTAACTTGTAGAGTGTCCCACATAGCCTTAGTTGTTTCACAATGAGAAATGTGATAAAACTCATCAACACCAAGAGCGGATATGATAATATTTTTCGCTTTCCAATCATATCCACACTTCTTATTATCTTCCTCATTCGACTTAGGTGTGACAACACCATAAATAACATGTGTAATCGGTGTTGGACCATTTTGAATGGCCTCCCACGCATCTTTATCATATGAGTTAACATAAATTTGTATACAAGCTTTACAATAACTATAGTTTTCTCCAGTAAAAATTGGGGCTCTTATAATCCCCTTTAGATCCGTACGCCATTTTCTAATAAGAGTTTCAAAGCACTGAATTAACCAGAGTTCTTTATGTCACTTGTTAGACGATAACGACTTATCTAGAGGGGGTGAATAGATCACCAAGCCAAAATATCAATTAAAATTGAAGTCTTAAAAAGTTAATTGAAAAGAGTACAAGCAGGAGGTTTTAATATAGATCGATAAAAGTCATTTATACGAACTTAGTTATTGGAACTCATATACACAATTAAGCCTTAAGAAATGAACAACCAATAATATGAATTTATACACTTGAAACAAGCAACACAATATTACTCATTTATAGCAAGTTACTAGCAATTCTATTTCCAATGAAATTAAGCAAAAATAACAAACAAAGTAATTTATCAAACACTTGGTGAGCAAACGAATTTTCAGAAATTTTCCTTGAGTTATGTTGATGTGAAAAAACACTTATAATCAAAGTGGTTATAAGCTAATCAACAACCAATTCAAAATAAAAACAGCCACAAAAAATTCTTTAACAAATTTCTTAGTGAAAAGTAAAGTAAGTAAAGAGATAAGAGAGAGTGACACGAAGATTTGTTTAGGAAGTTCATCATTCGTCTTCGCTATGGCTACGTCTCCCCCCAATTCTATTTTAGAATTAGGATAATTTCTTACTATGCAAACAATTAATTATAAGAGAAGTGTTTCAAGAGCAACCCTACAAATCCTAACTGTTTATTGTTGATTCAACCATTTCTCTTCTTTTGATCTTGAGCAAGACCAAGACATAATAGCTACCAATTGATTTATTGAAATTTATTACTCCTTTAGGTACCAAACTCCAAAGCTCTTTCGCGCACGATCAATTGTAACTATTAAACACAAGCACTTTCAATTTAATTTATCGTTCTCTCGTTACTTCTTTGAGTACCAAACTCCTAAGGCTTTTCACTTAGCTGCAATCCTCTTTTGAAAGTCTTGAGCAAAACCTCCAAATCTAACAAAGATCATAGAGGACAAACCCTAGGTTTTTCCGAATGAAATCCCCCACAATTCTCAACTCAATATTCCTGGTTACACAAAAACCTAATTGGATGTTATCAAACTTCGCCTAGATGGCACCCCAACAAAAGATGATTATGTGTGATTTATCAGTGTTTATGCATAGGTTGGAGGTTGAAGGTGAAGAGTAATAGTGGTAAGTGTTTATAGTTTTATTAAGTTGTAAATGGCCTATACATAATATGTGTCAGCCTATGTAACACAGACTCCACAGACTTTAATATTGAGTTGCATGTGTATGCCTGAAACACGTATGTGCCGACACACGTGCAATGCATTTTTGTGCAGAAATTGATATTTAATGAATGAGACCAATTTCAAACATGTTTCAGATAATTCCTAAGACCTCTAAATGCACATGATGCCACACTAACTTAGAGGTACCGTTCAATATACAAAAATGATATGTTCTTATAGTTTTGACATTATACAAAACATATCTAGAGACAAGTTGCACTCACAGATGTCTTATTCTCGAGGCTTTCCAAAGGCTCCGACTCGACCCGGAAAACATTAGAGCATCCCAAGGTTCTTTGGTTGATCTGTCAGGCGAACATGTACAGGTAAATGGTCACATAACGCTTGAAATAATGTTCGACTCAGAGGCAAGCGCCAAAATGATTGAAGTAAAGTATCTTGTAGTTGATTCCTTGTCTCCTTACAACGCCATCTTGACCCCCCCCCCCCCCCCCCCCCCCCTTCAACTTACTAGGGGTAGTCTTGTCCCGTCTTCATTTAAGCCTTAAATACCCGTTACCTAATTGGCGAATTGGTTCAATTCAGAGGAATCATGATACTATCCAGGAATGCTATAAGAACAACCTATAAATGAGAAGGGAGTTCATCGTCTTGGGTATCGCCCCTCATTCAGATGCACGTAACACAAATGAAAGGTTCCCTCCAACAGAAGATCAAAAAGAGGTCTATAGTTATCCCTTAGACCACCAAGTCACCAAGTTGGACACCTCTTTATCTGAATCGAGAGAAGAGAAGTTGGTCATCCTACTCAAAAGGAACATCAATTTATTTGCCTTGCCACTTTCGGATATATCAGGCATAAATACTAGAGTGGTGTGTCATTGGCTTGCCATTGATCCCATTGTCAAACCAGTGTCTCAAACAAAGCGCAAGGATTGCGAAGAGAAATGAGAGGTTATGATGAATAAGTGCAAAAGCTGACAAGCGTCTGTTTCATAAGAGGTAAAATACACATCTTGGCTAGTTTGGTATTGGGAAGGAAGGCATTAACGTTGCATGTCTCGAAAATACATACCCCTTACCCAACATAGATCGCCTGATTGGCAAATCTTCAGACTACAAAACGATGTGTTCAATAGACACCTACTCCAAATACAACCAACTTAAGATAGCTCCCGTAAACGTGCCCAAGACAACATTCATGTTTTATCATGACAACTATTATTACAATGTTATGCCTTTTGGACTTAAGAACACATGTGTCATCAATCATAGACTCAAGGACATAGTGTTCTCAAAGCAGATAGAGCATAATCTAGAAGTCTACACTAATGAAATGATAGTGAAGACATTTCATATTATTCCATTTCGCTTCATTTTACTACAGAAATGTGATGAGGAATGGAATTCCAATGCGTAGAGAATGATCCAAACCGGTGAGTTTGAGATATAAGTATTAAAAGCATCATGAGTTATGGATGACTTTTAGATATGGTATATTCAATGACAACATATTGCTATTAAACATTTGTATTAATTTTATAAAAAAAAACACTAAATAGAAATAATTGTTCTGTGTCTCTTTTAACAAAACTTAAACAAATTCCAAAATAAAATATAATAGGAGAAGCAATCAGAAATACTAGTTTAATATAGGAATCTGTTTGTACTCCGCCAAAAGTTTTGGTATATCATCCATACGCAACTGCATCAAGAGTAAAGAGAGACAATCAGAAAATAAAAAATGGTAATGCTCATATAGGTACTCAGAATATTTACTGATGAAATATAATGGTATTAACTCTTCTGATTTTAAAATGAAAAGTCATAATCCATTTAACCACAAAAAAAAAAAAAACCTGAGAAACGTTTTTGATGTGATAAAATCGATGCATCGCGTGTTCATCAAATCCAGGTTGCTCTTCAGATGCGTTCTTTCCTCTAATCAAATTATAAATAAAAATGGTGATAAACTTCATAAGCCTGTAAATACTATAGAGGAAACAGTCAAGAAAGAAATGGATAAACAATGGAGTTCTTACAGATGAAGCCGGTGAATTAGACGTTGGTAATCCCGAAGCAACGGCCCGAGCTCTTTGAGTTTGACTATATGAGGCTCAGCCTTCTTCCAGTGTTCACGGAGCGCCTCAATAGCCTTTTATTGGGAAATGAAATACGATTTCAATTAAATTACTACTACGATGCGACCGACATATAGAAAAGATGTATATGTTTGAAGGAGTGTTTTACGTTACCGGTGAACTTGCAGAAACATTTTCACCTGCTAATATTGAAGCTAATTCAAGAAGCTCTTTATCTTCCAATTCATTCACAATTGGAAGATTAGAATTGGACTGTGAAACTGATATTTGCAATCTCTGTTGCAATTCTGAGAGAGGAAATTTCTCTGTTTGGTTTTCCTGACATAGGTGATAATAAATGACAGAAAGTATTATAGCAATGGACTTTCTTATTTAACCTTATTTTTTAATATTCTGTTCAAATTAAGAGGAATATCGAGAAGACGCGGAAGTAACCAAGAAGATAGGGAAAAACAAGTTTAACCATTACCTTGAATTGAGATTGAAAATTACCATTAATTGACGCTGCATCGTTACTTTCAGGAATATTTCTGGGTGGAGATGCAGTTACTCTATTTGCAATCGGGTCATCTGTAAAACAAGCAAAGAAGTCAGGAATTTAGTTTTTGTGCCTTTGACTGTTGATTGTTCAGTTCTTTTAACATTTCTCTTATGAGATTGAAAGGTTTCTGCTTCTAAATCTTCTATATTTAAGCAGTAACACATTATTGTTTGACACAAAATCTGGCTTGCGAAGAAGTCATTGCTAAACAAAAAAACGGTTAAGAAACCCGCGTTGGCACAGTTCATCGATGAAAAATACTTGAAGCAAACACTTGAATTTAACAATAAGAATATAAGTTTGACGGCCTTCAAAGCACAATGAATACCTTGAGGGACTAACCACCATGGCTCTCCGTAAGTTGATTTCCCATCAAAGCCACCGATTAGCAGATACCGTGAACCAATAGCTGTCATAGAGTGGTATGCTCGCGCGGGAGGGGGTTCATTGCCTATGGACAGCCGCTTCCACTGTGCTGAAACTATATAAACAGAAAAACAAACAATTAGCCTACCCAACAATTTAAGTAATCAAACTTAGCATCTGCCATAGCAGATAGGCAGAGTGGAAATTCCCACCTCTGTCCAATACAATGCAATCGTTATAGTAGATATCATAGCGACTCAACCATCCACCGGTCCCATGCCCTCCAAACATCAACAACTGCAAAATCCCCTCTAACATAAATAAAAGAAACAAATAAATGACTGGATTCCAAGTTAAAGCAGTAAAACTTATGTAATCATATGGATGGATTAACAAGCTTGGTGGGATAAGAGTTAGTTTTTCTTTCTTACTAGCAGCAAACCCTCGGCCACTTACACAAGTCACGACTGACCAATTGATCTAGATCAGGAACACTGAAAAGTGTTATAGAGTCTTCCAATCAGTTATGCTAGCTTTGCACAACTGACAATCACTGTATTTGTTAGTTTACAGGTGTAGCTGTTAGTGTTAGTTGTAGTTTTTGTTAATTCATTAGTTTATTTTGCAAGCTTTCAGTAGCTAGCTACAAACACTATTGAACGCAGAAGATCAATGACACGTTCACTTTTTACATTTTACAATCATAATATAAATCTCGGAGCTTTAATTTCATCTTCAACTTAAAAGAAACAACTAAACTGTAAAAAAGCCGGGGTAAACACTACCCAGCCTACCGTAAAAAATATTAAATATGTAGATTTCTCTATTACAGAATGAGGAATGTACAAAACTATAAACATCAATTTTTTGCAGTAAAAGACCAAATGCAATATAAAAAAAAACAGCAAAACTAGAAAGAGAAATCAGGATTAAGCAAATGTGATTACATAGTGTCCTGCATTTGTAACTGTCTGGCCACAACGGGGGGAAGGAGCTTGACCTGGAAGCTTTAACTGAGTCCACCCGGGCGTTTCATTCTCTTCCCTCCACAACACACAGAAACTATAAGTACATAACCCAATCGAATAAGAAGCCACCAATTATTAAATTTAGAATGAAAAAGTGCATGAAAGATGAGAGAAAGTATGAACCATAAGATTTGCTCCAAAGAAAATAAAATAAAATAGAGAATTCAAAAACATTGTCACAACAATTTGTATAACAATCTTCTATGTGATATTCTACCGCAGTATTTAATATTCTTTGTAGAGACAAATTTTGAGCGAGGGGTTGGAACGTCAAGTGCAAAAGAAAAACATCTAGTCAAACTAATTAGTGTAAAAAGCTTCATAGTGACAAGGGATCATATTTAAATTTGAATAAAATAACAATTTTCATAAGAAAGGAAGATTTAGCAACCGACACAACACATAGGACCCCAGATGTAACAATAGCAAATTGTAGCATACAGCTAAATAGTAAAAAAACAGCATCACATATTTGATAAACATACCAATTTGCCAATATGGTAAAAAAAATGCATACCTTCGTCAATAAGGCCCTTCAAAGCCCACAAATCACCCATAATTGGTCCACCTCCTCCTGTCAAAGTCAGGCAAGAACAGTCATTTCAATTAATAACTTTGACTGAGATTGAAATTGCATCTGCAGCAATTAATGTATATGCTCCCTCCATTTCTCCGCAACAACAACGACGACGACAACAACAATCAAGCCTTATCCCACCAAGTGGGTCCCTCCATTTATCCGCAATGGTTAATTATTTGCATGTAAGTTAGAGAAATCAAAGCAATGTGATTTTTCGGACTGGAGGGGTCATTCCAGTCTCTAGTACAAGACACACTCAGTGCTTATAAGACCTCAAAGAGAATATCCTAAAGAAAAGATGTTGATTCAGAAGTTAACTTTATCATAACAGACGTGCAAGGGAAAGAGGCTGCTACACTTTAGAATGAACTTTGGAGTTTCAGTGGGTTTGTGAAGCTCACCAGATTACTTTGAATATAGAAAAAATTGACCAACACTTCAAAGTTCAATTTGATTAGTCCAGCTGATGAGTGTCCTTGTCAAAAAATCGAGATAGAAAGTATTTATTAAGTACAACATTTGAAACATTGGTGTCTTAAAAAGATGTCCATTCCAATAAATGCATTCAGCTTTTGATTTCTTAGAAAAATGCCGTAATGGTAACGGCACCTGTAAATACTTGCCTATTTAGTTTGGGTTAAAAGACTGGTATAAACTCATAAAAGATCTCATCATACAAGCAAATCAACTCTTAAAGAAGAAGAATTATGCGACCCCACCTCTTCCACCATAAACAAGCAACCGCTTTTCGACCATTGTGGCAGTATGGCCGCATCTAGGTTGTGGCAATGTTCCAGAAACCGAGAGCTCCGTCCACTCGAGGGATACTACAAAAGTAAGAATATGTGTTACCTTACCACTTGTTTCAATGCATAAAAGGAAATTGTGTGTTTAAGAGATAAATTGAACCCCAAAGAGAGGAAAATACTTGTGTCCAAAACATAAACATCGGATAGCCACTTCTTTCCATCCCATCCACCATACCTGTATCATTATCAAACAGTTGAAATTTAATCCTAATCCAACCAACTGGTATAACTAATCATTTAAATGTTCAATGTCTCACATAACAATCTTCCGGTTCCCAATAGATGAAGCGGCAGCAAAATCTCGTGCTGAAGGCAAGTCACCAAAGCCGGATAATTCAGACCATTGCCATATATCTTAATCAAACAACATCATTCATTCCAAGCACCAACATGCCGAGAAAGCATTAGTCCCAATTCCAAACATGTCAAGTCTCACAAAATGAAAGTTATCACAGAAGAACAATAACTCAACAAATATAATAGAAAGTGTCATACCAGTATCCAAAACCCAAAAGTCTCCCAACCTGTCAAATTCAAGCATTATAGTGAAAACCCAAAACCCAAAAGTTCCACAAGTGCTTATACCAACAAATAAACTTAAACAAGCCAAACCAAACAAACCATATGAAATAAAACACTAAAACAGAAACTTAACCTTTGACCTCCAGAACGGCCACCAAAAACAAACATATGACAATCAATGGAAACAGCAACATGAAAAGCTCGTGGACTGGGACCCACGTGTCCATCCGAATCACTTCCAGTGCACTCTGGCTTATACCATAGCTTAGCCTCTGAAAATTGAAACATTAAAAAAACGAATGAAATCCCCAATTTTGACAAAACCCCAGAAAAGAAGAGACAAAAGGGTCACCAACCAATATCATAGACAAGGATATCAGTGAGAAACTTCTTATCGACAAGACCGCCGAAGACGACAACCTTGGATTTGCCGATGTTAACAGCAGAATGACCACTGCGAGGTTGGGGAGAAGTTCCGGCGTAATCAGAAGATGTAGCTCCGACCCAGTAATACATTGTTTTGATGTCTTTCGATCTTCCGATTCCGGTGACGATATCAGATCAAAGGTCGTGTAATGTACTCACCGTTTCAACCTTCTTTCGTTGTTGTTTTTTCTGGGTTTATTTTCTTTCATTTCTTAACAAATTGTGTAACTCTTTTTGTAAATAAATAAACAAATTGCAGTTAATTTTTATATAACCATGTTATTATCGGAGTACTTTTGAGTAAAAAAAGAAAGAAGCTAATTTGGTTTTACTAGAAGAATTTTGCCACTCATCATAGTTTTATTTAGTTCGAAGAATTAGTCTATTATTTTGTTTTTACCAAAAAAAACATACATTTTTATCAACAATATTCAAATGCTTACATATAATCTATTTATTTGCTTCAAATCAAATAGACAATATAATTTATTATATAATTATTTAGAGACTAATCTTGTATGATTCTTAGTAGTACATAGTTAATAGCATATGATCCTATCAATTAACAATTATTAGCATGCAAATATTCATATAGTTAGTCATGCACACCTGAGACATTTAGTACAAGATATGTAAGAAGCTATCAACACAAAAGTTCACTTAAAGGGTCGAATGTCTTGCCTGGTGCTATAACATGTGAGCTCACAGAATTAGTACTTATTAAGATGATCAATACTAAATAATTACATGTTACCTGTTATTGGTAATATAGATCACACTACACCACTACTCTCCCTTTTTGACATAATTTGGCAAAGGATTAGCACTTCAAGCTAGCAACTCGAGGTCAATCATGTAAAGGTTGGTATGTTAGTACATACACAATTAAATCATGAGTAAAACCACCATAATCAATATCAAAAAACGCACAAGCATTATTTCAGTTATAGAACCCAATCTCAAGAGGCTATAAAGCCCTTACATAATAACAAGATAAACATGCCTAAAATACAAAGGTAAAAAGACAGAAATGAAAATGATAAACCTTCAATCCTCAAGATCAGAAGCTCCCTTCAAATTTGGTCTTCATTCCAACCTCTTGAGTTTCTAAAGGTGACCTAATCCTCATATGTATTTGAGTCACTATCTTGCACATGAGCCTTCTTCACAGTCTTCATCCTAGTAACTGAAGTGTGAAGGTGCGAGAAACACAACAAAGAGGGGTTTGAATTGGGTAGCACCAAATATAATATTTTCGCAACTCAAACACAAAGCTAACAAGAAAATAAAAATATATGAACATTGTTAGATCCATGGTTTTAGGATTGGCAACAATTTTGCTAAAAGATGGTTCTTAACAGATGTTAAATAAGATGTCATAATATCTTGATCAAATTGATACATCAGAGTGTGAGCTTATTGAAACAACCGGCTGAAAATCATCAAACAATGAAGTCGCCATCGAATGTCTTTTATCCCACATGTAGGGAAAGATAAACATCGAGAAAACCTGAAAAGGGAGAAGTCACGGTCTTGCGACCGAGAGATCGGGTAAGGGAGTCTGTTACGCGAGGGGAAGGTATTAGCACCCCACACGCCCGTAGTACTCTATGGTATCCACTCTTATTATCTATCTTATGGGTGTGTTTAATCTATGCTTACTGTCTGCTATACTACTGGAGGGAAAATGCATGCAAAAGAAAAGGGAAAAGAATGTAGGGAAAATAAAATTGTGCTCGCCTGGGCCCTACCCCAATGCCTACGTATCCTTTTTGAGGAATCAGAGCTACCGTAGTTCGGCTCACATGTTTCTGTTTGTTTTGTGTTTTTTATGGACAATGTTAATTCCGCCTTCTGTCGCAGCTCAACCTTTGGAGACTTATGTGTTGGTACAGAAGTAAACTAATCATGTCCTTACCTGAAAAGGGTTTTAGAGAAAAGGTGCTCGAGCGCACAAAATGGTTTGGATTTGTTTTGTATTTTGTTACCTTGAAAAAGGGTTTAAGTATGATTAGCATGTTTTTGATTTGCTAAGAAGAGAAGTTTTTGTTTTGAATGCAAGGATGCAAAGAGGGGAAGAAAAGAGTCTAAGGGAGACTAGCCTATTTCTAACCTAATGTTATCATACAATGGTTAGCCCTATGTCAAGGATAAAGGGGAAGTTTCTACCTACTGTTAGAATGCATGGTTTACAACCTAAGGTCTAACTTGCATCCGAACGGAGCAAGCGCATCCTAAGGGAACATGGTATGTACAAGGATAAAGCAAGCAAGCCAAGTAAAAAGGAAGCACACCTAAAAGGATCCTACCTAGGTTAGCATGTCGAAGAAAAGTCTAAAAAACTATCCTATAGGGAGCATGCATTGAGAGCGAAGTCGTGATCTCAATTACTAAATTGAGTGACTCATCGATCGGCAAGAAATAAAGGAAAGCGATAAAATACTATAGGGAGCATGCACTGAGAGCGAAGTCGTGATCTCAATTTCTAAATTGAGTGACTCATCAATCGACAAGAAAGTAAACAAACACAAGCACAACACATATAGCAAATGAAGTACGGAATGCCTGCTACAGGTCTTTAAACAGCGACTTCGAGCGCACGCTCTTTATTTCCTACTTCTCATGGTATCTAGAAAGTGGTAAAGTGCAGAAAAATACAAGGGTGGTAGCAGAGGCTACCAAAGCGAGCAAGTCGTCAAGAGCAAACGAAAGCACTGAAAAAGCAGGGAGTACGCGTCGAGCAAGCTTCACCAAAAAACAAACAGAGTTAGAAACAATATCCAACTAAGATAAAGGCAAACGCGTGTCGCGAATGCGACGTATAACCAGAAGTTCTGTTAAACCACTAATCATGCCAAGGGAATTGAGTCAAGGATACAGAATCGACAAGAATGTATTAAAATCTTAATTCTAATCATGTACCAAACATTAATTCAATTAATTCCTAAGCTAATAGAAAAAATTATGAAAAAATATCACTAAGTCAAGGAGTAACATATTAGTACCCACACAAAATTTCAGCCAAAAATCATGGAAGAAAATACCACAATTAAATCGCCAAAATTCAAGATACAAAGCAAAAAATTAAAAGAAGCTAGGAGGTGCAGTGGACTGGAATTAGTGTGAATAGAAGAACATTCATTGGCAAGCCCAGGTGCATCTGGCCCAATCCCATGTACCAATGTCCAAACATTTTCCCTGAATATTATTTTTTATCTCTGATTTATACATATCAAAATAATAATAAAAAATTAAATTAAATTAAACATGAGAAATAGTGAGATTGGAGAAACGACATCACTGGCATGTGTTAGGCTCAACAATTCGTGTGACTCCCCAGCTTCTTCATCTCCGTCAATCTGACCGCTGCAACACCCACCTACACTCGTAGGAAACTCGATTCTCGACCATCAACCGCCTCGTTTTCACATCTTCGTTCTATATCCAGCACCAGATCCCACCAATTTTCGCAAAAATGGCCTATATTGTAAATGATAAATCTGAGCCCTAGGTTTATTGCAAATGGAATTACATGAAGGTGCGAAGACTCTTGAGCGCGATTCTACGGGAGTAAGAACCTACACGTCCTCCTTTACAAACCGGTATCAAGAACTTGCAAAAAGGACGAAGAACGATGCGTAACCTACCTCGACGGCGACGGTGATCAGAGACTTCGACAAATCCTCATACTCAGGTATCACTGCATCTTTCTCTGAAAACTCCTCTGATTTAATTTTCTACTTCCGCTATACTTCAGTGTTGCTCCGAACCTACGAATTCGTTGTTGTTCTTGTTACGCTATCGATTGACACTATTGATACTGAAACCGTGCCTTTTTGTAGAAGGTTTGAGTCGTTAAACATGGATCCTGAAGAAACGATTGCTATAGAAGATGATGAGATTTCGACGAAGGTGATTATTCTTGCGATCCAGTTGATTGATGCAGAAATGATCGATTATTGAGGATTCAGGTTAAAGAATGGTTGCAAAGAAGATGAGGAAGGTTGAATGATGAGAAAGGAAGCACCGAGAATTTGTGGTGATTCTTCATAGGTTTTTGAATGAATCGGTTGTGGTGAGTTTTCCAGGGATAAATATTCTGTTAAAGGCTTGTGAAAAGTTGGTTATAGATTAAACAATCTTGGCCAATGGATCAGAAGTTTGTTATGACAAATGAATGGTGAGGATTAGAGGTTTGAGAGTCAGTTATATTAGTTTTGAAGGCTAGTGTAATTTCAGTTAGAAGGTTGTTATATACATACATTATGTGCTTCTGAAGTGAAGTTCTTGCTTATCTTGGAAATTGGATCCCTTGTTGCTTCAAATACTACAACTCACAACTGATCCACGTTGGTAGATACAGTTTCAGGAGAAACATCCTCAGAAAATATGAAGTGCTTAGTTGCACTAAAAATGCTTGTTAGATGCAGAATTACACTTTGATACGTGTAGCTTGGGGGCATGACAAGTGTTGGAAGAGAAGGGACACATGTCGGAAGAAATTCGTTTTGATTGTAAACTGGTGCATACAAGGTCAACACTGTCTAGAAAAATATGAATCTCAAAAGAAGTCTCCTTATGAACGGATCGCCTAAAACCTGTCCCCAAACTGGATCAAGTGTGTCTGATGATGCCAACGCCATTCCCCAGTTATTTAATGATGACGAGAGCAGTGTTTCAGCTTTATTGTACAAGTCCAAATCAATATCAGTGCCTGAAAATCCTAGCAGCTGACAGAAAGATTGCAGAAGAGCTGTAAGAAACATGGTGAATAAGGTGAAGATGATTATTATGAATGAGTGTCTCTTTGTAACTTTGGTGTAATGTCTCTGTACCATGAAATATCTTGTACTTGTACCTTTTGTCCCAAACTTGAATAAAACTTGATATTTTTATACAAACTTGCACACTTGGTCCAATGATGGAATTTTGGGTGAGACTTGAATGAATGATGAGTGGTTATAAATTTATTAAAACTTAAATGGTTTCATGGGCTTGTAAGTCTTGGAAAATTTATAAGTTGTATACCAAGAGAACCATATGAATGAACTATCTAACCTTATCTTGAATCAACCAAATGATAAATCGTG